CTGAGTATTTGATTTCGACAGGTCAGCTTTTGCTGTCGCCGTTGCCTCAAGCGCGACGAAATTCCTGATGGTTGGTTAACATTTACGAGATTCCCAGGCTATATGTTAATGTCCTTCTTTTCACCGTCGGTCGTTTTTCTTTTTCTACATTTGTGGCTCCAACAATGGATTCAATTGTTTTTCCTGCTCTCGTGTGGCATGCGAGCAAGGCAGGATATCCGTGAAATCAGAGGATTTGAATTAGGGCGACTTCATCTACTTTTCGAAGTTGGAGGGCGATGTAGTGCGTCTTCAGTCGCTTGAAGTTTATGTATGATACTTCTCTTGTGGTGGTAGTTCTGGAAGCTCAGAATACGATCCGTCGGGGCCAGCGTCTTTTAATTGGAGACCGTTCACACAATTTTACCTTACAATCAAGCAGCAAACCGCTGACGTACGCGCTCGCTTTGACTGAACTAGGACTAGAAGTGGTACATCAGTATATTGAATACGAACCGTCCGGAGTAGCTCTCAATCAAATCACCTTAAACCCGCAAAGTATGTGTCACCCTGCCGTGTAGCTACCTGATTTACGGTCTCCCACAGGTAGCTCATCGTTGTCACCCGAAAAATTTAGCACTTTATTTGATAATTTTAGCCACTTGCTGGTCAATTTTCTTTATTGGCTGTGTTCATCCTCTACGCATTCATCCTAGAGCGTGACTCAAGGGCGAGTCGACCACTTTAGATGATTGAATTTCTATACGGAAAAAGTTGCTTCCCAACATAACGTTGTGACGTCTCTATGATCCTATCAGTGATATCAGTTTTACAGGAGTTGTTCGTTAGATGGTCCTGAAAAATGTGATACCATCTGTATATGACATGTTTCAGAAAGAGAAACAATTCAATCACTTCTGTCTCCAGTATTCCAACCCGAAACCATTAGCTTTTTTAGTATTGACTGATTGAAGCGAGGTCAGACAATCGACGCCTGTATTGAACTGTCACCTCCCCACCGAATGGGTTTGAAAGCATCTCCTATCTGGAACCCATGAGCATGTTGAGTTCCTTCTTATGAAATTAGTATTTTGTTGCTCACTTGTGATCAAAATCTCGAATACAAATACCTCACCGATACAACACAGACCACCGTTTTTCGTTTGACACTTCATTCTGTGGTCAATTCATTCCGTTTATCCACATTTTTCAGTAAGCTAACTACTGATGAAATTACGTGTTTTGACCTCCGGACATTTCTGATTGAAAATCTGCTGCATCCTTTATTCTGCTTCAGATTACCTACTTAGTCACATCCTCCTGATAGGGACCTCCCTCCGGAGTGGACGAAATTTTGAGCAATATAAAACTTCTGTTCATCAACGCTGTTATTCACACGCTTTTCTGATGAGAATATTAGTGTAAACCTGTCTCGGGTTGCTTATTATAACTCCGTAGTCGACAGAGTGAGGTGTCCAATGACCCGTCGAATACAAGACTTAGGTGGCACATC